TTTTTTTTTTTTTTTTATGTGAGTATAAAGACTTCTAAATATATTGGATTCTTCACCTTTCACAGACCAGATATGAAATTTCAAAAGCTGGCAAAACTTTTGTTAACTTTAAAAATAGAGATTGAAATGGGTATTCATCACCAAGTTGGAGGGTTTTTTTTCTCTCATTTCAATTGAACCACTATTTTTAGTGACCATTCATCTATGCACATACATGAGAAGTCAAAAGAAAACATATCACTACATCACTACAGGAGACATTATGTGGGATATTCACATCYTAGAGATACTGAGCATCTCATTGCTTTCTGAGTAACAAGATTGGCCATTTCTGAGCAGGATGTAGCAAGATCAATGTAGTTTCTCCACAGCTTCTGTTCTTCCTTCAAGAGAGATTATCCACACCTCACAGAAGGGATGCTATACCCTTACAGGATGAGATACATTTGTCATGGGCTCCTGATAGTCTTTAATTTTGTTTCAATAAAGACTGTAGGACTGACCTGAACAAACTTTTTTTTTTTTTCCCCTCTTCCATTTACATACTTTAGAATGGAGAAAAGGTGGAAATTAGTGACATATCTCCACCCATTCCAGAGCCTGCCTCATTGGCAACCTCTGCAGCACTGGTGCTGGAGCGTATCTCCACTTGCCCTTCACTGACAGGTCTCGGCCACCTCCCTGACACCCCTGCACAGCGTGTCCTGCTCAGCTGCCCGCACCCTTGCACGGAGGCTCCGTCCCCGGACGGGAACTACAGCACAATCCCTCAGCACTTCCTGCTCCTCCGCAGAGCAGAGCGCATCCTTCGCTCACCCCTCCCTTTGAAGTAKTCCGTGCGTGCCAGGGAGCTGCCCAAGTCCACGGGCTGCCCCCCGCCTCCTCCGGCGCCTGGGGCAGTSTCTCCCGGGGGGACAGCGAGGTGACCTCCCCCCGGCGGTGACCTTCGGGACGGGGCAGCGCGCCGCCACCGCGGGGCCCCCCTTACCTGGCGCGAACACCATGACGCCGCCCGCGCAGCGCGCAGCCGCCTCGGCACCGCGGAGAGCGGCAGTTCAGCGCCGCGGAGAGCGGCGGTTCAGCACCGCGGAGAGCGGCAGTTCAGCACCGCGGAGAGCGGCGGTTCAGCACCGCGGAGAGCGGC